GTTTCAGCAGGAAGAGCTATATTTCAATAGATTCTTGAAAACTTGGGAGGACCTATATTATTTATCATTATCAAATTATTATATAATTGAGCATTCTTTTATGTATAGCACCATATTATCTTAAGGTGGCATAGGGTAACTCAAGAAGAAAATGTCCTAGTATTTTTTTCTAATAGTAATTTTATAAAAGTAAAACTTGCTTATTATAGAAAATTTAGAAATGAAAAGTATAAAAAGGAAAAATCTGTTGTTATTCTGTTCCTCAGAAATAATCATACCTAATATTTTGGTGTATTTATTTTTATATATTAATACATTTACATTTGGAAAATAATTTTGTACCTACTTTATGTTCTCATCTAAGGAGCTATATTCACATTCAGGCCTTAGATTAAGGACATTTAACATCTTGATCCTTTTCAAATTAGAAATCATTAATCATTTCTAGATATTTTTTCCTAGGTGGGCTACATCATGCAGCTGCCCGAATTTCTGGTGACAATGTCTATAAGCATTTGAAGTATGAAGGTGGGATTCACCGAGTTCAGCGAATCCCTGAGGTGGGCCTGTCGTCCAGGATGCAGCGTATTCACACAGGAACAATGTCAGTTATTGTCCTTCCTCAACCACATGAGGTAACCTCACCAGGAGGCATTGAAAACCTACTCTTTGTAAATGTTTGTCACACTGAAAAGTCTTAGCTTCTAGGAAATTCAGTGATTTTTCAAGGTTACCTACTGAGCTTTATAGTCATTTTTGAGAAATCCTTAACTCCTCCCTAGATAAAGTTACACCTTTTATCTCTGACCAAGATGTTTTGTTCTTTACATAAAACAGAATCGGCAAAGCTTTTTAAATGCTGCTCAGTGGTTGATTGTCGACCTTTAAACCAGGAGGTCATGGGCACATTCCCAGGTTGATCCCCAGGAGGGGCTGTGTAAGAGGCAGTCAATCAATTCTCTGTCATCATTGATGTTTCTCTCCCCCTTCTTTTTTCTTTCTTTCTGAAACCAATGAAAAATATATTAAAAAAAAAAAAAAAAAAAAAAGCAGTGTCACCTTGTTTGTTCTCAGCAGGGAATGTGCGCATGAAGAGCAACGTGAAGTTCTGCTGTTCTGTGCATGTCTTCTAATGACTGTGAAAGTGCTGTAATAATTGACTTTGGGGAACAAATAAATTTTAGGAAGTAGGTAAATTTGCAAATACAGAATTAGAATAATAAGTATTAACTTTATATATAGATATATTTACATTCATTGTTTATAAATTTTCTATCTAATGTAGCTTTGTGGGGTGACAGATGATGAAACTTGAAAGATTGCATAACTCAATGATCTCATAGTACCTTAAGTCAATATTAAAAAACAGTATCTGCCGAAACCGGTTTGGCTCAGTGGATAGAGCATCAGCCTGCGGACTCAAAGGTCCCAGGTTCGGTTCCGGTCAAGGGCATAGAAAGCTAGATAATACAACCTTGGTTGCGGGCACATCCCCAGTAGGGGTCGTGCAAGAGGCAGCTGATCGATGACTCTCTCATCGATGTTTCTATCTCTCCCTTCCTCTCTGTAAAAAATCAATAAAATATATTAAAAAACAGTATCCATTGAAATAGGGAGTTTTTTTCACCTCTTAGTCTAATAACTATGATTTATGACACAAAGCAATACAGTTTATTTGAAAATGTTTGGAATAAATTTAGTATTGAAGTATTTGTTGAGAGTAGAATTTACTTATGTTACACTTTTTGTTCTAGGTAGATGTGAAAGTGGACCCTAAGGATTTGCGGATAGATACATTTAGAGCCAAAGGAGCAGGAGGCCAGCATGTTAACACAACTGATAGCGCTGTCAGACTTGTCCATGCCCCCACAGGTAAGCAAGTCTTTTTGCTCTTGTACCTTTTTTTTTTTTTAATATATTTTTTATTTATTTTCCACAGAGAGGAAGGGAGAGGGATAGAGAGCCAGAAACATCGATGAGAGAGAAACATCGACCAGCTGCCTCCTGCACGCCCCCCACTGGGGATGTGCCCGCAACCAATGTACATGCCCCTTGACCGGAATCGAACCTGGGACCTTTCAGTCCGCAGGCTGACGCTCTATCCATTAAGCCAGACGGGTTTCGGCTACTCTTATATCTGTACTTTTAATCTGTTTTCATGTCTTATAAAACTATTTAGCGTTTAGAAGGAAAGAGTCATGTGTGAGTGTTTGTTTCCTTACAAAAACTCTTTAAAGGTGGCATTGGGGTTGTATGTCTGAGGTTTCCAATGATTTCATATTTCTCTCTTGTTTGGAAAAGATACCTCTCAAAGGAGACAGAGAGTGAGTGGACCTATTCAGGGAAGCTGTCTAAGTATGCTACACAGGGCTCAACAGCCAGATGTGCCCTAGCCTAAAAACAAACTTGCAAGTAGTATTGGACGTGCCATTGTGATTTTATCACCGTGTAGACTGACTGCTAGCTTCATTAGGCTCTGCTGCATAAACGTGATTACCTTGAATACTGGTAATTTTGTTAAACTACGAGGTAATTTTGAAGTCCTTAATGTGATTTTAAAGATTTCTATCATTTTTCAGGTTTTTAAACTTTTTAAATTTCTTTTCTTTATAAACTCAATTTTACATTACATATGTATATGGTTTTAAAAGTCCAATAATAGCCTGGCAGGTGTGGCTAAGTAGTTGAGTCAACCTATGAATCAGGAGGTCATGGTTCCATTTCCTGGTCAGGGCATATGCTACAGTTTCAGGCTGGATCTCCGTGCAGGAGGCAGCCAATCAATGATTCTCTCTCATCGTTGATATTTCTCTCTCCCCCTCTCCCTTCTTCTCTGAAATCAGTACTTTTTTAAATGTTGGCTTTAAAAACAAAAAATAGTCCAATGATAAAGTCCTATAACAAAAAATAGCAGCTCCCTGGACCTTTTCTTCCTCCCCCTCCTTCCCTCCTTGACCCCAAATTTACTCAGAGGCAATCACTTTAAACTCTTTTAGCCATTTCTTTTCTGGCAATTATCTCAGTGTTTCTAATTAATAGGCAGATCTGATTAAGTATGAGAGTATATATTCACTACTTAATGTAGTAGATGAGTATTTTGGCACAATTAGTCTTCACTGTTTTTATATAAGAAGTAGGTCAATAGTGAAACAAGTAATATTATATAATTTTAAAGGACCAGGGTAAGACTTAAGAGACAAGTAAAAAACCTAGAGGATCAAATTTTTTCCAGGAGGTACACTTCCATAGGATGGGGAGGGCGTTGCCAGTTATCGTCTTCCTTCTGCACACAGTCTAAAATGTATCTGGCAGAATATCTCCCTACCCTCACCCTGCGGTCATGTTAGTATGTCAATTAGTCATAGTTCATCTGAAGTTCACTTTTCTTTCATCCTAGTGGCATTTTCCAGCTTAAACCTGTGGTCCTTGAGTCTCTTATCTGGTTTCTACCCACTGACTTAGGACAGTGTGGAATTTGCACACTTTCTTAATGAGTTCAGCCTGTTTTTGTTAGGGACAATGTTAGAGAATAAGAGAAGACAAGAAGATAAAGCCAGTAGCAGTTTCAGGATTAATTAATAATGTGGTAGCACAACCCTGTGACAGTAGTTTTGAGAGTAGAATTTTATACACATTTAAAAATCTGCAAAATAGTTACCACCCTATCAGGGCAGCTGGCTCCCTGTTACATATGTACAAGGGAGCAGAATTGGACGCACATCTTAGAGTGATAGCTACAAAATTAAGAACAGCAGCCCAAAGCTTCAAGGCATCATTCTAGGGCTCCATTTGGGCTAGTTACTGGACTCTACAGTGGGTCAAACCCACCCAAATTTGGAAGTTGGCTAACCAAAATGTGTATTTAGATGTGTTGATCAGTTGTCTTTAGAACCAAGACAACTGAGAAACATTCATTATAAATATGATTCATTTATAATGAATATATATAATATTCATTATAAATATTTTCCTTTGAGTTTGATTCCTGGCCAGTTTGGCTCAGTGGATAGAGTGTCAGCCTTTAGACCAAAGGGTCCCGACTTTGATTCCGGTCAAAGGCACATACCTTGGTTGCAGGCTCCTCCCCGGTCCAGGCCCTGGTTGGGCGCATGCAGGAGACAACCAATGTTTCTCACATTGATCTTCTCTCTGTCTTTCCCTCTCTCTTCCACTCTCTAAAAAATCAATGGAAAAATATCCGCAGATGAGAATTAACCAGAAAAAGAGAGTTTGAATAGTTTCTTTCCACTGGTTTCTATATATAAAGTCCCTCCCCCCCCCCCTTTTTTTAAGCATCAGCTCTTATGTATATTTGTAATTTAAAGGGGAAAAGCTGACTTGTCTAATAGGACAGAGAATGGAGCAGCACTATTTTGGGGGTGACAGTATTTTGCACTTTATTGAGCTACAAAAGTCTCTGGATGAGCTGGGATGGAGAGGCAGAGCTCTGAGAAGGAAAGTATGTGTAACCATTTGCAGATGTGACCCCTTTCAGTTTTCTCAGTTAGGAAATAATCTCAGTTAGGTATCAGAATCTAGCCATCTTGCCGAAACTGGTTTGGCTCAGTGGATAGAACGTCGGCCTGTGGACTGAAGGGTCCCAGGTTCGATTCCGGTCAAGGGCATGTACATTGTTTGCGGGCACATTCCCGGTAGGTGATGTGCAGGAGGCGGCTGGTCGATGTTTCTCTCTCATCGATGTTTCTAACTCTCTATCCCTCTCCCTTCCTCTCTGTGAAAAAAATCTATAAAATATATTTTAAAAAAAAGAAAAAAAGAATCTAACCATCTTTCACTATTACTATCAGAACAATTGTAAGTTTTGAAATATGCTAAATCTAAAAAATAAGAAATAATAAAAAGTACTTAGTCCTTTGTGATCTTTTCCTGATTAACCTGGGGGAACTTTAAAATATTCCTTAAGTCTGTCTCTTCTTCACCACTGACTCCCAGTTGTATTGAACTATAACTGACACCTCACTTCCATCTCAATTTGGCACATGGAGGCTTCAATTTTTACCTTTAATTCCTGTTATTTTTCAGGGCTTGTAGTAGAATGTCAACAAGAAAGATCACAGATAAAAAATAAAGAAATAGCTTTGCGTGTGTTGAGAGCTAGACTTTATCAGCAGATGATTGAGAAAGACAAGTGTCAACAACAAAGTGCTAGAAAACTACAGGTAAGATTTATTTGGTATAAGCTATCTCTATAATAAAGAGCCAGGATGTAAGGACAGAGCATGACCAAAGGTTGCTATGGCAACCCAGCGCTGACTACTGTGGCTGCAGGCCCAGTGACTCAGCAATGATTGCTGAGGGGGTTTTGAATCAGGCCCGGAAAGAGATCTAAAGAGAGAAACGGGCTGATCTGAATCATCTGAGGCAACTTTTGACCAGCACTTGCCTCTCTCTTTCTCTCATAGCCAGGCCAGCAGCCCTGTGTCAATTTCCCTCTAGGCCTCCATGGGGCTACTGATCAGCCACACCTTTCTGATCAGGCCCCACTGATAGGCCCAAAGACGCTGACTGGCATAGAAACTGGCCAATCAGAACCAAATCTGGGTCAACAGTGGCTGCCTAGGAGACAGAGCTTTTGACGCTGAGAACCTGACCAATTAGAACCAAACTGGCCAGCAGAGGAGGGCAGTAGGGGTTGAGATCAGGCTGGCAGGGGAGGGCAGTTGGGGGCAACCAGGCTGGCAGGGGAGGGCAGTTGGGGACAACTAGGCAGACAGGAGAGGGCAGTTGGTGGCAAGATCAGGCTGGCAAGGGAGGGCAGTTAGAGGTGATCATGAAGGCAGAGGCAGTTAGGGGTGATCAGGCAGGCAGGCAGGCAGGTGAGTGGTTAGGAGCCAACGGTTCCAGATTGCGAGAGGGATGTCTGACTGCTGGTTTGAGCCCCATCCCGATTAGGCCTAAACCAGCAGTTGGACATTACCTGAGGGGTCCCCGATTGGAGAGGTTGCAGGCTGGGCTGAAGGAACCGCCCTCTCCATGCATGAATTTTGTGCACTGGGCCACTAGTCTATAATAATAAAAGCGTAATATGCTAATTAGACTGGACATCCTTCCAGGCATTCTTCCAGACAACCTACCAGACGAAGCTGGGGCTGTGAGGGAAGCCCAGTTCCTGGGTGCCAGAGGGAAGGTGGTGCCAGCAGCTGGGGGAAGGCCTACTCTTGCACAAATTTCATACATTGGGCCTCTAGTATATATATAAGACCCTCTGTGACCATTACGACTGGTTGACTGACTGATGTGCAGGAGGCAGCTGGTCGATGTTTGACACACACTGACCAGTTGCTATGACACACACTGACCAGCGGGGGATAATCGCTCAATGCAGGAGCTGCCCCCTGGTGGTCAGTGCACTCCCACAGCCAACCTCCCGAGGCAGGCTGTAGAGGGCTGTCTGGGAAAGCACATGAGCATTTCTTTTCATTGTTGCCAGCTGAGACCGAGATGATTGGCAGAGGCAAGCCATGGGAACATGTTTCCCCAAGATGGCAGACATGTTATCAGCTTGGCCTTCATATCAGTCCAGGTGTCGACAGGGGCAGGACTAGATGTGTAAATCCAGGCATCCTAAGCCTACTTAAGAATGCAAATAAGTTAATGATAACTTCCTGGTATTGGGGTATAAAATAAATTGCTCTTTGCCACTATGTATATATAATTTTAAAAAAATATTTAAGCTGTTTAAATAGGAAAGTAATTTTTTTCATTGCAATAGAGGTAATTTTAAAATTTAAATATGTATTGCTTTTTATTATGGCACAGGTAGGAACAAGAGCCCAGTCAGAGAGAATTCGGACATATAATTTCACCCAGGACAGAGTCACTGACCACAGGATAGCATATGAAGTTCGTGACATTAAGGTAATAACACTGAGTATGCTTTATATACTTTTGACTTTTCAAGAAAGTATAGTCAAATTCTAGAGAGTAATGTCTAAAATATCAGTAAATAATTTTAAATCATTAAATCAATTTATGTTAGTACCTTAAAATTTGCAAACATTTTCATTAGTTTACTGGTAAGAATCATGGTCTTTATGCCAGTTTGGAACAACTATCTTATAAGTCCTAATTTCTTTGTTATACAGCCACAATGATTTAATTTTTTTTTTAACAGTATAAGCTTCAAGGGTGCTACTCTTTTTAAAAAATAAATTTTTTAATTGATTTCAGAGAGGAAAGGAGAGGGGGAGAGAGAGAGATAGAAACATCAATAATGAGAGAGAATCATTGATTGGTTGCATCCTACACGCCCTCTTCTGAGGACTGAGCCTGCAAGGTGGGCATGTGCCCTTGGCTGGAATAGAACTCAGGATCCTTTAGTCCACAAGCCGTTTATCCACTGAGCCAAACCACCTAGGGCATTAATATATTTAAATATAGTCATATGCTGCTTTACCCCTGGGACATGTTGTAAGAAATGCATCGTTATGCGATTTAATCATTGTGCCAACATCATAGAATGCACTTACACAAACCTAGATGGTATAGCCTGCTACAAACTTAGTTAAATCAAACACAAAAGAAAACGCTGCAATCAAAAGACATGGTAAACATTAGATGTATAAGGCTGCTGTTAGTGTAAACCAGGCATACTGTTTTAGAGAAAATGTTGTTTTTAATCAGTCAAGAGTATACTCTAAAAATAACAATTAAAAGTATAGTATAGTAAATTCATTAGCCAGTAACAAGTTTATTATCATTATCAAGCATTATGTACTGTACAAAATTTTATGTGCTACTTTTATACCACTGGCAGTGTTATAAGAGCCCTCTTCCGAGCTCATGTGGTTGTTGGCGGAATTGCATTTTCTTGAATTGTAGGAGAGAGGCCCCCATTTTCTTGCTGGCCATCAGCTGGATGCTGATACTCTCAGCTCCCAAAGATCCACACAGTTGCTTGCTATATGGCCCCCTCCTATGTCCTCTTTCACTTTGAACCTCTTGTAGAAATGGCTCAGGCCATTTGAAGGGCTCACGTGTTTAGGTCAGGCCCCCCTGTATAAATACCCCTTTTTAACTTAAAGTCAAACTGATCACTGGAGTGATATTCTATCATATTCACAGTTTCTGCCTGCAGTTAAGGGAGAGGATTATGAAAGGTGTATACACTAGAGGGCATCTTATATCTCTGCATTACCATAACATACATTCATTAGGTCGAGGTATTACAGTTAACTGTTGGGGAAAGATCATGTCAGTTTGGTTGGAACGTTAACCAGGACCATGACAGTAATACATTAATGATGAAACACAGTAAATTTTTTGTTTTCTTCCACTGATGGGGGCAGTTCCCATATAGGAATAGGTGGAAAAGCAAGAAGTTTTTATCCTTTTCCTTGGTGCCATGTGATACCTAGGGGCTCTTTTGCTTGCTTCTATTCCATTGTGAACTCAAAATTAAAGTCTTAATTTTACAAGAGAAATGTCTACTTATTTATTGATTGATTGATTTTTAGAGAGAGGGAGAGAGCAGAAGGGAGAGAGCCGAAAAAAACATTGATTTGTGGTTCCATTTAGTTATGCACTCGGTTGATTTTTGTACATGCTGACTGGGGATCATACCTGCAACGTTGGCATATTGGGACGATGCTCTAACCAAGTTACCCAGCCATGGCTACATTTTTTAGTATTAAGAAATTTCTGTGTATCTTATGCCATTTCCTCTGTTTTCTCAGCAATTATGGCTGCCTTACATAGGAAACATAAGTGCCATGTTGAAAAGGAGAAAATATTTGCTAACTTCCCTTTCCTCAGGAAACGCAGTAATAGCCAAACACATTTGACCATATTGTTCTAATTATACCATAATTTTTTAGTTCTTTTTCTAGTAGTGGTGACAATTTTCTATGAGACAGTGACATTCTTATGACCAGTAATATATTTTAGAAGGGCACATACCCTGTTCCCCCCAAAATAAGATAGTATCTTATATTAATTTTTTCTCCCAAAGTTGTGCTAGGTCGTATTTTCAGGGGATGTCTTATCTTTCCATGCGCTAGGTCTTATTTTCGGGGAAACACGGTAGGCGCTCAGTATAGTATTCAGCCATGAAGCAGGAGCAGATAACTGGCTTTTATACTTACAAAATATTTGACTTTGGCCTAAATAATAACGTATTATTACTAACCAAACAAGCACAGCAGACACAGAAATGATAAGGAAAATCATATTGGTATGCTCTAATGATCACTAACCAGCTTATTAGGGAGGGGGGAAAAAAAACATGTTCCATATTAGTGAAAGGAAAAAATGCCATAAAAAATGTTGTAGTAAAACATTAAAATCTGCAAGCAGGAAAGACACTAGTGTAGGAACTGAATAGCTGTGGATGTGGAAAGAAAAGTGATAAGGGCCTTAGGTCCAGAGGAACTGCTATAAGACAGAATGGAAGGGGTGAAGGGGAGAGAAAGTAGATGGCTGTGGGACTGCTCTCTCATTATTCTAGACCCTGACCTTTTCCCTAGTCCATCCACATAGTCCCTGATGGCACTTCTATGATCTGACATAATCATGGTCCCGACCCAAGACAATACTTGATTTATTTGGAGAGGAAATCTGAACAAGTCCTATCCAATGAATTCCTTTCTAGGATTTTTAAACTGGAGACACACAAGGTCATCCTCTCCTTGGTGGCTAAATCTGAAGTACTTAAAGTTTACAGGAGGTTAGAAGCCACATTTTTAGTCATGGGAGAAAGCAATCTTCAGTGAGAGAAAAAATGGGGCTGAAAAATTAAAAGGAGCAAACATGAAAACTGGATGGAAAATCCTGATGATATGAATTCTCATATTCATTTATTCCTGAGGCCCAGCTTCATTGCCAGGATGGTGGCAGTAGCCCTATACCTTGGGGTATGTAAGGTCACTCAGTATTCTTGTAAATTCCTTTTTGGTTATTTTTATTTTTATTTATCTAGATAACTAGAGGCTCGGTGCACATATATGGTGTACAATACATGCCATATATTATGTGTTAATTGATTGTTTCGGTTACTGGTAAAGCTCTGAGTCCACAGTAGACTATTAGTAAGGTTTCAGAAGAGTTAAATTCGTGCACTTGGGAGAGGGGGGTACCCTTCACAAAACTTCTATATCACACAAAACTTCTATATCACTGGACCCTCCCACATCCGTGATATAGAAGTTTTGTGTAATAGTTGTTGGGATTAGTCAATTAGCACATTCTCATATTTCATAAATGCTCCAAATATAGACATTTGCTTCATAGAAATACGTTAGTGTTGACATCCGGAACACAGAACATTTCAAGTTTTGCTGTTGGCATCAACTAATCTTATATTTAGTCTTTTTTTTTTTTTTTTAATTCTCAACCAATGATATTTTTAAAGGGAGGAGTAGAGACAGAGAGAAACATCTATTGATTGCCTCTCGCACGCAACCAACCAATGATGCAGATTGAGCCTGCAACTGAAGTACGTGTTATTGACTGGAATGGAACTCAGGACCCTTTAGTCTGAGGGACTCTGGCAAGGCTGAGAGGACTGGGCGCTGCCATCTTGTGGCTATGTGTGCCACCATTTTTGTGGAGGAGTGAAGGTTAATTTGCATATTATCCTTTTATTAGAAAGGCTTAGTAATTCTTGGTTGCTATTAAAAAATGACTGTAAAGAAAAGAATTAAAAATACACCTAATTCTTTTCTTCATTTCTCCTTTATTTCTAGTGATCAGATTTTCATAAAAATTTCTCTCTTTTACCAGAAATTTTTATGTGGGGAGAAGTGCCTGGATCAGCTAATTCAGAGACTGCTTCAATCAGCAGATGAAGAAGCTGTTATTGAGTTTTTGGATGAAAATCTTAAATCAACAAAATGCTGATTTATTATTTATTAGAGGCCCGATGAACAAAATTCATGCAAGAGTAGGCCTTCCTTATCCCGGCTGCTGGCACCTGAGACCCAGGCTTCCCTCGAAGCCCCAGCTTCATTTGGAAGTTATTCCAGAAGGACATCTGGTCTAATTAGCATATTACACTTTTATTATTATAGATAATTACATAAGTGAGATGGACTTATGTCAGGAAACTGACAGAGGCATGGGAATCTTTGAGACTATTCATAAAATACAGGTAAAAATGCACAATAATTACAAATGTTTTTGTTTTTTTAATCCTCACCTGAGGATATGTTTATTAATTTGAGAGAACGAGAGAGAAATAAACATTGATGTGAGAAACATTGATCACTCACCTTGCACAATAGACTCCAACTGGGAATGGAAGGCACAACCTTTTGGTGTACAAGATGATGATTCAACCAACTGAGCCACCCAGTCAGCTTACAAATATGTTTTTTAATGAATCAATTACATTTCTTTTTCTTTGAAAACCAAATATTAATTTTGATGATCTCGTAAACAAAGTGTTTTTGATGATGTAATCACATGAAGATTAGGATTCTACTCGGCAGGAAGATGGTTTACCTGGTGCTTCCCAGCCATCACCCTGTGCTGGTAGACTTATCAAGGGAAGAAAGCTTACCTAGCATTGTGAACAGCCTCTCACTAAGGAGGAGGCTAAGAAAATAAGTAACTAGAGGGATGGCCTGGGCCACATGAGTTACTCAGGAGGTACAGGCCGAGTTTCCTTACACAGAGTCATTCACACACTTGCCAATAAAGCAGTTCTCAATGCACTATTCTAGTAACGGAACATGTGAGTCTGATTCTGTCATCCAGCTATGTCCCCACACTGGCACACTGACTCCTGGGGCGATGTTGGGGTTGGCTCATTCACATGACCTTTCTGCTGGGCAGCACTGAGGCCTGCTCTGGAGGGTGGCCAGGCTCACTTTATTTCCCAGCCCATCTTGAAGAACATCTGGAATCCAAGAATCTTCTCAAAACTCCTTAAGCCTATTAATCTCTTTTTCTAATTCACCATTTTCCTTCATTTCTTAATGCCAGCTATATTGCAAAGATAGATTTAGGTCCTTGACTGTTCATTTCTTTCACTTTTCCTTTTCATGTTGGGATTGACTTCTGCTCTGATCTAAACCCTTCTTTAACTCTTGTTTCTCAGCTTCTAAATTCATACAAAAACGTGATTCAAGCCTCTGTCATAGTTTTCTTTTTTGTAACTTGACTATCTTTTTAAAAAAAATCAATCTTTATTGTTCAGATAATTACAGTTGTTCCTCTTTTTCCCCACATAGCTCCCCTCCATCCAGTTCTCACTCACCCCATGCCCTTACCCCTCCTCTGTCCTCATCCATAGATGTAAGATTTTTGTCCAGTCTCTTTCTGCACCCCTCATATCCCTTTCCCCCCAAGGATTGTCAGTCCACTTCCTTATGCCCCTGATTCTATTATATTCACCAGTTTATTCTGTTCATCAGATTTTTAACTCACTTGATTTTTAGATTCACTTGTTGATAGATATGTATTTGTTGATCATAATTTTTATCTTTATCTGTTTCTTCTTCCTCTTCTTAAAGAATACCTTTTAGCATTTCATATAATACTGGTTTGGCAGTGATGAACTCCTTTAGCTTTTTCTGATCTGTGAAGCTCTTTATCTGACCTTCAATTCTGAATGATAGCTTTGCTGGGTAGAGTAATCTGTTTGTAGGTTCTTGCTATTCATCACTTTGAATATTTCTTGCCACTCTCATATGGCCTGAATAGTTTCTGTTGAGAAACCAGCTGAGAATCTTATGGGTGCTCCCTTGTAGGTAACTAACTGTTTTTCTTTTGCTGTTTTTAATATTGTCTCTTTATCTTTTGCTCTTGACATTTTAATTATGATGTGTCTTGGTGTGGTCCTCTTTGGATCCCTTTTGTTTGGGGTTCTGTGCACTTCCTGGATTTGTAAGTCTATTTCTTTCACCAGGTGGGGGAAGTTTTCAGTCATTATTTCTTCTAATAGGTTTTCAGTTTGCTCTCTCTCTCCTTCTGGCACCCCTATAATTTGGATATTGGTATGCTTGAAGTTGTCCAGAGGCTCCTTACACTATCTTCATACTTTTGGATTCTTTTTGCTTTTTGTTTTTCCGGTTGGGTGTTTTTGCTTCTTTTGTATTTCAAGTCTTTGACTTGATTATTGTGATCCTCTAGTACAGTGGTTGGCAAACTCATTAGTCAACAGAGCCAAATATCTATAGTACAACAATTGAAATTTCTTTTGAGAGCCAAATTTTTTAAACTTAAACTTTTTCTTATGCCACTTCTTCAAATTAGACTCACCCAGGCCGTGGTATTTTGTGGAAGAGCCACACACTCAAGGGGCCAAAGAGCCGCATGTGGTTCGAGAGCTGCAGTTTGCCAACCACAGCTCTAGTCTGCTGTTGGATCTCTGTATATTATTCTTTATTTCAGTCGGTGTATGCTTAATTTCTAGTTGGTCCTTTTTCATATCCTTGAGTATCTCACTAAATTTATCAGCAGTTTCTAGAAAATTTAAGAAAAAAACCTTATAACCATGGTTTTGAACTCTATATAGAGCTGTTTGCTTTCTTCCATTTCTGTCATTTTTGATCTGTTTCTTTGTCTCTGCATTTTCACTGCTTCCCTGTATTGATAAGAGTGGCTTTGTGTGCTAGGTGTCCTATAGGGCCCAGTGGCTTAGCCTACCAGTTACCTGAGGTGGATGCTCTTGGTGCACCCCTTTGTGGGCTGCGTGCAGTCTTGTAGTTAAATGTTGATTGCTATTGGTATCCCTGGGGGGAATTGACCTCCAGGCTAATTGGCTGTGAGGACCAGCTGTGTCTACTATGGGAGAATTTCTGTGCTGGAGACACCCTTATGAGATAAGACTTGCTTCAGTGGGGCTTTGGTGCTCACTGAGTCTGCCCCCTGAGTGTGTCCCTTGGATCTGAGGAGTTGTAATCTGAATGGTCCTACTCTCCCCCCTAGGTACACTGGCTCTTAGATCTGCAAGGAAGTGCTAATTTAGCCTCTGCCTGAGGCCACTCAGGAGGAGCTACAGAGAGGTCTGCAGATTCCTCTTCTTTGTTTGGAGGTGCTCAGATGAGGCCCAGCTGTGAAGCGGATCCTTGGGCCTTCTTTTAGATGTTCTGGGTCTCTCTGACATTAGCTGCAGTTAGGTAATTTTATTTTATTTTTTTATTTTTTTAAATATATTTTATTTAATATATTTTTTTTAATATGTTTTTCACAGAGGAAGAGAGAGGGATAGAGAGTTAGAAACATCGATGAGAGAGAATCATCGATCAGCTGCCTCTTGCACACCCCCTACTGGGGATGTGCCCGCAACCAAAGTACATGCCCTTGTCCGGAATCAAACCAGGGACCTTTCAGTCTGCAGACCGACGCTCTATCCACTGAGCCAAACCGGTCCCGGCTAGTTAGGTAATTTTAGATTTTAAAAAATCAGGCCATTCATATGCAAAAGCCTCTGTGCACAGCTTGGGTGAGGCAGGGTCTCAGGGAATCAACAGGGTGGAGCAAACAGCTATGGCTGATTCTCAGTCCTGCCCTAAGAGGTCCTTGGGTTTCAGTGTCCCTTGGTAATCACTGCAAGCATCTCTGAGAGAAAGTTGCCCTCGAGTTTTTTTTTGTTGTTGTTTTTTTTTTGCATGAAGATCTTAATTTATTTCTGCAAGTTATATAGTAGCCAAGCAGTATGCATTTTTTTCTTTTTCTTTTTTTTTAATAATATATTTTTTAATTAAATTATTATTTTTGTACATATACCAATACCCCCCCTCCCGTACATACCCTCCTTCACCACAGTTTTGTGTCCATTGGTTGTACTTATATGCATGTATACAAGTCCTTTGGTTGATCTCTTATCTCCCCCAGATCTCCCAACCTCCCCGCTATAATTTGACAGTCTGCTGTTGCTTTACTGTCTCTATATCTATCTTTTGGTTCTTCAGTTTATAATGATCTTTATCATCCATAAATAAGTGAGTCATGTGGTATCTCTCTTTCATTGACTGGCTTGTTTCACTCAGCATGATGTTCTCCAATTCCATCCAGGTTGCTGCAAACGATGAGAATTTTTTCTTTTTTATGGCTGCGTAATATTCCATTGTGTAAATGTACCATAGTTTTTGGATCCAATCATCTGCTGATTGCCCTCGAGTTCTGACAGAAGCCAGACAGTCCAGTTTCTCCCCGTATGCGTCTGGGTCCCTAGAGTCTCACCCAGAACTGAAATTCAGAGCAGTTAGGAGCTAGTGCCTCCCTCTCACTGGAAAAAGCCAGCCGCATACTCATTTGCCAGCTCTCTCCACTCAAGCCTCCATACCTCTACCTTTACTTCCGTAGCTCCTCTGAGTCTCAGTGTGCTTTTCTCTTTCCTTCAAGTTGTAGAATTTCCACTCAGTCAACTTCCTGTGGTTCTGGATGATGTCCATTTTGTCTTTTAGTTGTAGTTTTGAAGTGGTTGTGGGAGGAAGCAAGTTCAGGTATTTACTTTTGCCACCATCTTGCCTTCTCCCTGTCATAGACAGCTTTTTTTTTTGGTGTCAGCCAGTTCTCTTTGAAGTTGTCTAACAACTCTATTTTCTGTCTTTTGACACTGTGTTTGGCCTAAGTCTCTTTCTACACCTTCTAAATTCAAAGTCCTTTCTCTGAGAGCATCTCTTGTGCAATGAAGCTCAATTTCTAAGCTATTGAATTTACTTTCTTCTGCTTTATAAAGTTATTGAGAAAGAATCTCATTATTATATTTTAGGTCTCTCTTTATCCTTTTCATACTGATATATTCTTTTAAATTATACTATTTATTCATTAGCTTCTTATTTTTTTCATTTAGCATGTTAGAAATAAGGTGAGCCTCAGAGTTAAGGGGTTCTGGTAGAACACAAAGGATACTTGGGGGTCAGCAAAGCTATATATTTACTTCTGCAGAA